ACGACACAAGGCAAAGAAGCGTCCAGTCAAAGATGCTGGTGAAAATAAGCAAGATGCAATTATTCGTCACATCGCTGCTGGCTGGGAGTTCTGGAAAGTGTGATGAGGGAGGGGTGCTCTCTCCTGCCTCTCTTGCTCTGATGGGACAGAGGGAACACTATTAGAGCCGGGCGGGAAAAGGTATTTTTAGCTCAGGGACACTTCGGGGTGGGTGGGTGAGTTAAAATCAGACCCCACCCAATCCTTAAACCCGGAGATATTTGTTTCTGTAATTCCCGGCGGCTGTTCTGGCCGAATGATTCGAAAGTTGGGGAGAAAAGGAAATGTTCCAAGTTCTGGAGGGGAGGAATATAATTCGGTGGTGTCACGTCGCCGAGTGCAAGACATCTGATCCAATTGAGGCTTCTGAATTGTATTGGTGTGGTTCGGTCTTCAGCTTTCCCTAGCATTATTGTCTTTTCTAATGAGACTTGCTTCCTCAGAATATGTCCGGAATGCCATAACTTCGGTCTAGTTATTCTGGCACTGAATCCAGTCCACAGGACTAATCAGCAGGAACAGGGATATCCTCTCTCCTCACCTGTAACTCCAACATCCTCAGTGGGTCAGGCGTCTAACTACACAGCCAGAGGTTGGGAGTTTGATTCCTCATGGTGCCTCCTTGACAGGGGCTGGACTTCGTGATCCAAAAGGCCCCTTCCAACTCTGCAGGTCTAAGACTATAATTACAATCCCTCTAGGGTGGCATGCAGCCTTCGAACTGTCAAGGAAGAGGGCAGGAATTTGATCTTCCTAGCAACAATTTAGCGATGCAAAGTGTTTCAGGGTGGCTTGATCTCGAGATGACAATCAAGTAGAGGGAGCTTCAAGAAGATTTGCTTTATGTGCCGTTTGGCTCGGTCGCCCTGGCTGGCGACTCTGAGAGCTGTAACCCAACAGGGATTGCCCACAACTAGGCACAATCATTGGGAGACTCAGTTGCCAGCTGTTGTGAAGAAGGAGTGGGGGAATCCTGGTAGGGTACCCCCCCCAAAAAATGTCACAGTCTTTACTGATCAGAAAGTCTCAAGGTTTCAGCCCTACTTCCCCGAGACTCTGTCTCGCCCTGGCTGGCGACTCTGAGAGCTGTAACCCAACAGGGATTGCCCACAACTAGGCACAATCATTGGGAGACTCAGTTGCCAGCTGTTGTGAAGAAGGAGTGGGGGAATCCTGGTAGGGTACCCCCCCCAAAAAATGTCACAGTCTTTACTGATCAGAAAGTCTCAAGGTTTCAGCCCTACTTCCCCGAGACTCTGTCTAGACCTCCTAACCAAAAAAACTGTCATGCGCGGTAACTGTCTTGCGAGGCACCGCTGTAATTATAATCCCTCTAGGGTGGTATGCAGCCTTCGCACTGTCAAGGAAGAGGGCAGGAATTTGATCTTCCTAGCAACAATTTAGTGATGCAAAGTGTTTCAGGGTGGCTTGGTCTCGAGATAACAATCAAGTAGAGGGAGCTTCAAGAAGATTTGCTTTATGTGTCGTTTGGCTCGGTCGCCCTGGCTGGCGACTCTGAGAGCTGTAACCCAACAGGGATTGCCCACAACTAGGCACAATCATTGGGAGACTCAGTTGCCAGCTGTTGTGAAGAAGGAGTGGGGGAATCCTGGTAGGGTACCCCCCCCAAAAAATGTCACAGTCTTTACTGATCAGAAAGTCTCAAGGTTTCAGCCCTACTTCCCCGAGACTCTGTCTAGACCTCCTTGGAGAAATGAAATAAACAGCATTCATGCTAAGGTTACCTGTAGACAACATTTCTGGAAAATGAAGAGTCTGATACACTAAGTACACATAAACCCGAAAGGAAGTCAATATAAAATATACAAGCAGTATCTAACATCTTATAAATTGAATCCAATTTACAGCACTCTGTTTTAAGGGCATTAGAAAAGCCATATCTAATCTGTCCACTTTACAGCTAGGCGGTGGCCTTGGCCCTAGTAACCGTTTATTGAGAGGAGATAATTTTCTTTTAATGTCCCTCTCAATTTTTTGTGCAAATGGCTTTTTTTTTCCCATAATTTACCCCTTAACCCTTTGGTTTTATCGCTGGGACCGCCGAAAGAAGGTTAACACTGTCCTCTAGTTTCCAGGTTGGTCATCACAGCCAAAATAATGGTGGGGAGGGAGGCGTTCCTCAAAAAATTGACGAACGGTGAAATTAAGTCTGGAACTTAATGCCAGAGCTTAGAGAATCCTAGGAAGGTTGACTCGAAAAGCAACTTTTGGAGATGGGGGGGGTTAATTATGGCACCGTAAAACCCATAGTGTAACACAGATTTAAACAGATCCAGTAAGCATATTTAATATAAATGGATGGATGGATGGATGGACGGACGGACAGACGGATGGATAGATAGATAGATAGATAGATAGATAGATAGATAGATAGATAGATAGATAGATAGATAGATAGATAGATAGATAGATAGATAGATACTTATTTATTTATTTACTTACTTAACTTTCTTTCTTACTTACTTAAAGGCTAAAACCAGTGAATTATTCAAATGTTAAAGAAGAATTAATAGCTGTGTATTGAAGATGTCAGGTGGAAGCATTACAAAAAACACAGCTTTTCCGCTTAGCCCAAGCAAAGCATTGGAATTGTGGGCTTTGCTATCTTCAAAGTCATGGTTTCCAGCAACCCGTCTAATAAAAGATCTTTGCTAACTGGTTCCTTTTATCTTGGCAGCGATCAGAGTCCCTACAAGCCGTAGCTGCTCTTGACAAAAATGTCTAGGAAGATTGAAGGGGAACCGTGTTCGAATCTCTAATCTGTTTTTTAGGTTTCCCCCACTACCAGTCGTAGCCTTCTAATCTGATTTGTTGTTGTTCCTGTTTGTTTTTGCATTTGTGTGTGTGTGTGTAAAGCCATGAGGGCTCAGGGGTACCTGATTTTGGAAGCTAAACAGGGTCAGCCCTTGTTATACCTGGATGGGCGACAATCAAGGAACGTGGTGTCCTGTACCGGGGGTACAGCTAAGGAAGGATCTCACCCAATGTCTGGGATAGCCAGTTGTGGCCAATCAGAGTTGACAAAGGACTCTGTCAAGGCACAGCCCTAATTTTGTTACTAGGTAGCTCAGGGGTTGAGGTCTCTGGCTGCAGCGCCAGAGGGTTGGGAGTTCGATTCCCCACTGGGCCCCCTTGGCAGGGGCCGGACGCGATGATCCACAGGGCGTCCCTTCTGTTTCTACAACAAGGATGATTTCCCTGATCTTGAAGAGGGATCGCTCCACTTGTGATGTTTTCCCCCTGTCTTTCTGACCCAGTTCCGTCAAGGTGTCCGATGCGTCATCAAGCGATGGCAGAGAAAAGGGGTCATTTGGAATGGTTCACTTTCTCCTTCCCTGACAGCAGTTGGTTACCCCTGACACTGAGGAGAAAGCATTAGGCGCCCGCTGTGCCAAAACCGCAAACAATTGCCAAGATAAGAGGCATGGCAACCAAGAGAACACACAACATTCTGTAAAATCCAGTCTCCAGACCTCGCCTCCTCTTCCTTCTTCTCCTTCTCCTTCATCTTCTTCTTTGCCATCTTCTTCTTCTTTCTTTTCCTCCTCCTTTTCTTTTCCCTTCTCTCTTTTCCTCCTCTTCCTCTTCTTCCTTCCTTCCTTCCTTCCTTCCTTCCTTCCTTTCTT